CATGGCCATTGTCTAAGTGACAGAGAGAGGGCTCTGACCCCTACCTGGACAGGCTTTTACAGTTTTTCTTGGTACATTACATTGAGGATGGTCCTCATTTACTATGCACAGGTTCACTGTAGGTGATTACCTTTTACAGATAACAAAGGAAAGAATGTTGCTAATTACTTCAAAGGGAAGGATGTGGCAGACCAAGAGGAAATGTGGTTGAACCGGTTACACTCCATCCTTGGAAGGTTTAGCACAAATTTTAGAAAGTTACTTTAGAGATAACGCAGTAAACATTTGCTACCTCAATTCACGGTGAGGGAGTTTTAGCAAAAACAAGTCTCATAGCAGCCTAGGTACAATGGAAGACTAATTCCCTAAGGGAGAACCTATCCTTGGGCCTGGCTCCTGTGTGCTGGACCTCGCTTCCCACTGTCTTTTCCGAGTGGGAGCTGGGCTACATTCCCATGCCATGTGGGATAATTCCCTATACACTTGGGGCAGAGAAAACAAGGATCCACAGAAGTTACAGTAGAGCTGGGACATCAAGGGTGAGTAGGATTTCTCCAGCTGGTGGAAGAGAACGTCCTCCAGGTAGGATCACTTGAGCAAGAGCACGAAAGCCTGAGAAAGCCTCAAATAAATGTAAGTCTGTGCAGTCCTGACGGGAGGTCCCTGGCAGCACAGTCAGAAACTACTCTGGAAGGGATATTACAACCCATGTGTGTCAAGCTATTCATCATGTGTCAACGAGTTTAGACATTTTTTCTTTCAATAGAATAGAAACCCATTGGATTTTGGTTTTAATTTTTAACCTTTTTTCTTTAAATGAAGGAGAGTACCTTCCTTGACTGATTTTGTGTTTTGGCACAATGACCCTGATGTTCCTGGATAAAAGGAGCTAAAGGAGAAAGTAATTAGGATGCTTTTCAGCCTTGCCATTGTAAGGAAGAATGCAAGCCAGTTGAGACAGTTGCAGGGATGAGAATATTTATATTTCCTAATTTGCATCTGGAAAATTAGGAAATAATTTACAGAGGACATAGATTAATATTAATCCACTTATAGTTTTCATGCATTTCTAGCAAGTTTGCTGATTTAATACACCAGATGCAAAAAATGTGTAGAATGTAAAACTGCCGTGTTGGACATGGCATTTGACAGAGTAAATAATCATGTAACATATTATTTTATTTTATGTTGAGAATAGTACCCAGGGCATGGTGTATACCATTAAACACCTGATTGTTGAAAGAAGAATGAATCAACATTAATGCCTACTTTAAAATCACTGCTTTAGTATTTTATGAAATTGAGACATTTTACCAGAATATTTCTAAGATTCATTCTCTGACTCAGTAATATTAATCTTAATGAAATCAAATAAATAAAACATACCTAACACACAAAATGCTAGCTGTGGTTAGGAATGCATGGTTGCATAATAAAAGGAAACCAGCTTTTCCTATCTGAGCTCCAGAATAGGCACGCACATTGTATAGAGTTCAGGAAGAAATAATAAAAACCACTTAATCTCAATAAACACAACTAAATAACGCTATTTTTAAGATAGGTATGCACAAATACACTTATACACATGAGGGAAAACCATTTAAAGTGACCATTAAATGAATAAAATGACTACAAATTAAGTCAACATAAGAAGGTAAATATATTTTCAATAGACAGATAGATATAAACTATATGACTTAAAGGGGTTAAGAATATAAATACAGTTTACATGCATACACACACAAGGTAAAAATAACACAAGTAAAGGTATTATAATTTATTAATAATATAAAAAATATAGGTAAGAACAATGAAGGCCAGTGAGAATGTTGGGAAATGTACTGGACTGGTAGAAATGTAAATAATACAGCCTTTCGGTAGTCAACTTGCTACTATATATCAACATGTTGAACTCATGTGCACTGAGAGCAAGCTATTACAATGACAGGTATTTAGCAATTGCAAACTTGTTCATAATGGGAGAATTGTCTGAACACATGATTGTCACAAACCTTTAGATAAAGTATCTACTAAAGGAGATTGGTTAAAATAATAATTTTGTGCTTATATTATTTTACTAATATTCATTATTTTAATAAGGGTTATGTGCTTTTATAACATATCTGTCCAGTATATTATTTAATGAGTAATGTTCAAGAATGTGTGACTACTTTTATCTCTTTTACATAAATGAAATTTGAAATATCGGTTAGTATGTCTAGAAAAAGATAATTATGATGAGATAAATTAAGGTTGGAAAGAAAACTGTACTTGAATAACAATTAAAATTAATAAACAAATTAATTAAATTGTCAATCATGTAGGAAAAAATAAATAAGTAAAATAAAACAAAATGTTGCTAACGGTGGCTTCTCCACCCCCTCTTTTCCTTTCAATGCAGAAGAAGCAAAGTTCTTTTTTGCTGATTTCCCTGAGGCCCCCCTCAACTTTTCCAAAATGCCCTTGCTTCAGGACCTAAAGTTGCCTCAGCATGTGACAATGAATTTTCTCTGAAAACATAAAAAATAAAATGAAATAAAATAAAATACATTAAATTAAAATAAAATAACAAAAACTGAACACCCTCTCCCATCCAAAACCCTTACTGTATGCGGATCTCCACATAATAAGATTTTTCCAAAGTTAATTTTCCTTACTACCATAGAAGAGTCCCTCACCTATTTTCTTACACTGCCATATTTTACTTAACACTCTTCCCAATGGAATGTCATCTATATCTATATCTGTGTTTCTATCACTATCTGTATCTCTATTTCTGTATCTGTATTTACACTTACATCTATATCTATCTATATATCTATATCTATCTATATATCTATATCTATGTTTATTATTTAAAATTCATTCCTCTTACCATTCCCCTTCATAAGGATATTATTCTTGAGGATTTGGGTCTCTTTATTTTGTTTCCCTATCATGTAGAACAGATGGCCTGGCATGCTGTAAAGAAATAATCAATGTATCTTTGTTGAAAACATAACCGATTGAATACCCATAACTTTGTGAGAAGCCATTAGAAACTGTTAAACCAATATTGTGTTTGTGTGTGTGTATTTCCTGACCACATAGGATATATATGTATAAAGTTTTTTTATTCAGAATTTTATGGTGGCATGAATGTTTTTGGTGAAGGACTAAGATCTCATCATATTATAAATGAATGTATTATATAGAATTTATTTTCAGATACATTTTAACATATACCTCTCTATATATACTAAAACACTCTAATTCATAGTAATTTAGTTGTATTAGTGACACCCTTTTCCAGTTCTCAGTTAGTATCAGTGGGCTTCTTCTAAGGCCTGGTCTTTCTTTGGCATGACTATAAAACTTTAAATAGCCAATTTCTCTGTTACTTGCTCGGTCCTGTGTGTTGGTGCTTGTGGTGGGACATAATATACATAGTGGGGTGAGATGTAGGTTTACTGTTGTGAGCACTTTGTTCTCAGCCCAGAATAGTGGCCTTCAACAGGACATTAAGAAGAGACACTCACTGGAGACAACTGTACTTGCACAGCAGTAGAAAGGGGAGGGGACAGATTATATTGTGATAAGTTTGCAAGGTGACAGATCATTATTAGCATATTGTAGTGATCACATTGTGAGGTATAAAAATGATAAGTAACTGCACTATACACTAAAATAACTAATATAAGATTATATAACAGCTTTCTTAATAAAAAGTCAAAAAATTATTAAAGAAAGACTCGACTATGAATATGGATATTTTTAAGTGCAATTATAATTAGGTTAACATTAAGTTTATTTGTAGTAACTTTTTCATGAACAAGAGAATTCATTTTTCATATAAAGAAGCATCAGTTGTGCAATTACTTTAGTACAATATCTGATTATCCAGATATATTATTTAAGATTTCTCTATTCTGGGCAAGATAACTATTTGAACTCATATTTTTATAATTCCTATTGAGAATTTAGGGGCATAGTAATTTTTACCAATACTGAATCTGATCATTTTAAATAAAGCAACTAAATTTGGACCCTTACCTATTAGTTACAAGGAAGCCAAGGCTCTTGGGGCATATTGGTACATTGGAAAATGTACAAAGAACTTTCTTTTTTTTAAATGTATTTAATGAATCAAATTTTAGAAACTATTTTCTATAACGGGTCTATGTTATTTTATTAATATTTATATATAACCTTAAAGGTATTTGAAACTATTTTATTTCTTTGTGTTTTGTTGTTACCTGTTTTGTGATAGTTCCATGCTAAATACATTTAAAAATAAAAGCCAAATTCAGGAAAAAAATATATATATAAGACAAAAATATACACAAAGAAATCTCTCTTTAACTTCTCTCAGTGCATAGGTAGCATGATGAAGTATCAGAAAACATTAGAATACTACAGATAGTTAGGATTGTTCTTAATATTTTCCTACATCAATGAGCTCTTTGATTAATCCAGTCTGGAGACATAGAAGTGCTCTTGCAGCTATAATTGCAATTATTTTTGGTTCTTTAATTTCTCAAATATTGTCCTAATTAAAGGCTTCCTTATGCTGGTATGCAACTGTTAATTTTTAAGTTGCAATTACAAATTACACCCTTGAAAGCTCAATAAGCCCTTAAGACCTTTTAGCTTTTCTATTGATATACTAATCATGAAATTAAAGCATCTGTAGTAAGCAGAAGAGCTAATGTAAGCAATGTCATGGGTTCTTTGGTGCACAAATCAATAAAGTTATTACGAAGACTTTGAATTCAATTATCTAGCTACTGGAAATGAGCACCACTTTAAAATTAGATATTTAAAGTATGTACCATTTGCACTAACTATATTATTGCCTAACATTTTGGTTATAATGGTTAAATTATTTTCAGTGATATCATATACCCAGGGAATCACTAATTAATGCCAAATTTAAAAAAAATAGTGGTTCAGCAGATAAATCAGATGACCTTGAGCTTTGTAAAGCAAAGATGCTAGAGTCATGTTGTCTTATTTTCCAGGTGCATATGTGCTCCAGGTCAAGGCCACGGATGCAGACGACCCAACCTATGGAAACAGTGCTAGAGTCGTTTACAGCATTCTTCAGGGACAACCTTATTTCTCTATTGATCCCAAGACAGGTAAATGTTTTATTAGAGACAGCACTATCCCCATGCCTTCAAATATTTAAACTTTAATTAAATCTTGGCATGGGAAATTGCCTATCCTAATGCCGCACAAAAGTTTCTTTGTGCTGCAGTTAAACAAAAGAAGATGGGATCTTGCCTTGCTGCTGATTCTTTGGATTGAACTTTGTGTGAATATAAGTATTTTTACAAGTATCTGTCCAAATTTGTTAGTTAGAATTATCTATATGATGTACTTTAAATTTCTAAAAGTCTGGGCATATATATTTTTTTTATTCTTCTGGGTAAAACAGCCTTTTATTTCAGGTTTTCTTGGTTGGGTGCAGTCATGTTCAGTTTTGGTCCTTATGAGCATGTGGTAAGATCATGGAGCTTCTATTGCTCTCTTTATCAAGGATTATGGGTGGTGGATTTGGATTAATACAGTCTTGGTATTAAGACTCATTTCTTTCTAGTAAAGAAATGAGAATGTTAACAAACTATAAACAGCAAGATCACTAATTCTTCTGGTCTATGTTTTTAAAGCTAGTATCATTGTCAAGTCAAGCCATTTAAATTACAGTTTTCAAGGTTAAATATATAAGAATCTGCAGGAAGTCTAGAAAGGGAAGGAAGATACAAGGAAGGTTTTATATTCTCTTTTAAATGAAATGAGGTACCCCTGTTTTGAGAGAATCTGTTTATATATGCTGGAAAGTTTTTAAGGCGATTCTTTTATTCTGACCAGTGATTAAACTACGTGTTTCATGTCACAGTTTACACAGAAACTCCACAGTGACAGTTACTTTATCAACTCTTATCTAGTACATCATAATATATTGTATATTGAATACAATTTACAATACACGTAAATATGTTAAACATTTAAACATTTATGCTTTCTCAAAATCTGTGTTAAAATCTGGAATATGAGTTGGGTATAAGTTAATCAATTAATCATCTATTAATATCGCCTAGGAACATAAAGTTTGTTAAGTGTAAATTAAGAACCTACAAACTTTCTGTTAATTGAACCCACCATTCTCCTCTCACTTCTTACCTTCCTCATCAAGCCCATAAGGGACACAAGTCATCAAAAAGTTAAGAGAATAAGACAGACGGTCACTGTCTTTCATAACTCTTAGGAAGAACAGATTATAAGGACAGCACCAGGCCTTTAAGAAAGGAACATCAGTGCTGAAGAGAATCCAAAAAGTTTCCAGACAAAAAGGCTCTTTTTCAAATGTTTTCTAATAGTGCATAACTTATTGTTTTTTTTTTCCGTTACTATTTACCCCCCTTATAGCCTCTTCCGCCTCCACCCACCTCCTTCCCCCACAATCGCCACCCCCCGACCCCCCAACAATGAACTGTCAGCCTGCTCTCCATTCAGGAGTCCATCTCCACCTTGAAGAAGCTCTTTAATTTGGAAATAGGGTCAGAGATAAAAAGCCAGAGTGTCATGTTAAGAGTCTGTGATGGGAAAAATTACACTTACTATACATTTTCAAGAAGTATGGCACTGAAGGTAGGAAGATGTTTGGCAATATCTGTGTTAAGGAAGTTCTGTGGTGGTTGTTAACTGTGAAAAAGCCATATATATTTGTAGAAAAAAGGGAAATATTGTTGAGGAAACAGTTGAAAAAGTTGTTCACTGAAGTTTATGATTGTACAAAGTTCCAGAGAAATTAAAAAGATTTGGATAATAGGATAACTACATAGACAAATAATGAAGATAAATTATCTAAAATATTATATATGATTTTATCAAGTGAAAACATGATGGTTTTTTAAAATTCTCTTTTAAAAGATTTTATTTATTTAATTTTTGAGAGAGGGGAAGGAGAGGAGAAAGAGAGGGAGAGGAACATCAGTGTGTGGTTGCCTCTTGCACACTCCCAACTGGTGACCTGGCCTGCAACCCAGGCATGTGCCCTGACTGGGAATTGAACCAGCAACACTGTGGTTCATAAGCCTGTGCTCAATCCACTGAGATATACCAGCCAGTGCTATTTTTCCTTATATAATTACCTATCTTTTCCAAATGGTCTATAATGGGTAACCTAATAGGAATAGAAGTATGAACAATGCATGTCTCTTAGATTTGTTCAGCCTCTGAGGAGCATATCTCAGAGATGGAGGGGACAGAAGAAGACTGAGAGTGTCTGTAGAGACTGGTTAAGAGGGAGGTTCAGTATTAGAATATGGTTATTGGCTTGCAGTGATTAACTTTAGAAAGTAGGTGGGTTTATGTGTCCAGGTCAAATCTGGGAACAGACAGATATTTATTTTGTTATCTTAAAAACAAATAAGACCATATGAAGATAAATTTAAGCAGAAAGCATGGGTAAAGGATGTGACTATGATAGTCAAGTTCATCCTGGATAGGCAGCAATTGTATGGGTCAAAACACTGGGTCTACCTTGACTTTACTTGTTCATAATTAATATTAGATGAATTCAAATGCTTTTAGAAAGTATTGCTTTATAGGGAGTATTACATGCATAATATAACTTTTATAATTCTGTATTTAGATTTGCTACATAATGCTTATTATTTAGAAGTAAAGGTGAAACAATTCTGGCATAAAGTATGAAATAGATTTTTTGCAACATTGATTTTCACTGGAGACAGAAGTCTTGGTACTAACAATATCTCAGACCACTAGAGAGGAAAAGAATGGATGATGAAACATTTCATTAATATAATGATAACTAGTTTTACGTGTACAAAAACCATTAAAAAGCCTTCTTGTCAAATTTATTACTTTGTGGTTAATAAAAGTAAATAAAAAATAAAAGATAATGACAATTTCTCAGAAATAGTCTCCACTTGTTCCAGACCTACAGCTTTCTTTTATGATACCCTTTGTTTTTATTAAATAAAATGAATGAAAAACTAATGTCATCTAAAATTTTCCACCTTTGAATATAAAATTCAGTGAGAAACAATTTTTAAAGGAACAGTCTCATCACAGCTTCTGGTGATTAACTATTTAGAAAGAGATAAATATAACTATTTATTTTTTACTTGAAACAAGAAAAGAAAAAAAAAGATTTTATTGATACTGATGTTTGACAAACATTCCTAGCATCTCAGTTTAAGTGATTATAGTGAGCTTATATAGAAACGCTACAAACTGATACATTCTATGAAATAAGCCCATAGACAACAGGTTACTTTAAAATTGGCGAATGTGGCAATTGTTTGGCTTAACTGTGAAACAATTTACTGTGAGTTAAAAGTCAAACACACGCATGTATATGCCTCAAATGATCATTAAATAATATTTTTAAAAAATCACAAATATAGATAAATCTACAAAACATTAAACAACATTTAAACATATTATTAATATTTACAAATTTTACATATTTGTTATATTAGCATGTTGTATGATTATACTACATTCATTTTTACACTTTAATTAGGAAAAACATTCATAATCTATACAACATCAAACAATAGGCATTATAATATTTTAACCAGCACATGAAGTTAGACTGATAAATAGAGCCAGAGAATTAATAAAGGAATTATTTCATTGCAGGAAACAAACAGTACTGTGGATGATTTACCCCCTGGCTTAACTTATATTTAAAATTACTTAAATGTTTCTATAAATGGTTTCAAAATCTAGTCTGTGTAGTATAAGTACATATTGCTCTTATGTGTACCATGTAGTGATGTATTTTTCTAAATGATCTGAGCCCTACTTGAGAAAGCATTATGATATTATTTATCTGAACATTACTTTTAAATATATGAATTAAAAATGTATTGCAGCAAAATATACATAATAAAATTACATTTTCACCACTTTAAGTGTACAGGTGCATGGCACTAAACGCATTCACATTGTTGACCAACCACTCCCATCGTCTACCTCCAGAACATTTTTACATCATCATGTTCAGTGTCAAAAATAATGTGTATTTACAAGCTTTATTTTATGTATTTAAACATCAATGTGTAGAATTCATATGAACATAGTTCAGGGGGGAGGGAGGTGCATGCAGGAGTGTCTCCTCCACCCCCTTTATTCACAATTGTGGCATTTCGTGTCTGGCCACCTATTCTGGGGACTGTTTAAGTAAATCTGGCAAAGGCCGCTGAGAGATCTGACACTTTCCCAAGACTTTTTCTTTTTAGATTTCACTAGCACCTTTTATTCAAAGAGTATAATCCTCAAGCTTGTGTCCTCCCTGAAACCTCCTGCCATATCCTGATGACGATGACTCATTCAGGACTTCAAACATGTGTTGGTGTTTTGAGGTGCATATTAAAATTAAGACATTGAGCAGGCTGTATATTTTGAGCTATACTTTGTGGTACTGTATAAATATCAATATTTTATGGTTTGAAAATGCTTTGATATCAGTTCAGAGTTAAGTTTTATAGCATCCATATATCTCAGTTGGTGCTAGTAAGAGCTGACCTCTCTTTTTTCTTCAAGGGCAAAAAAAGCATATTTGCCAACAGAAAGTTATGCTTATTCCTTTTTTCCTTCCTTCCTTCCTTCCTTCCTTCCTTCCTTCCTTCCTTCCTTCCTTCCTTCCTTCCTTCCTTCCTTCCTTCCTTCCTTCTTTCTTTTTTCTTTCTTTCTTTCTTTCTTTCTTTCTTTCTTTCTTTCTTTCTTTCTTTCTTTCTTTCTTTCTTTCTTTCCCTTCTTTCCTTCTTTCTTTCTTTCTTTCTTTCTTTCTTTCTTTCTTTCTTTCTTTCTTTCTTTCTTTCTTTCTTTCTTTCTTTCTTTCTTTCTTTCTTTCTTTTCTCTTTCTTATTTTTGCACCAAGAGAAGTATTGATAAAACTTAGTAAGACCAAGGAAAACAATAGATGCCAATAAATATATGAAAGAACAATATGTTAAAGAAATAGACAAGCATGAGAATCAAACAACACACATTGCCTATTTCAGATACTGAGAATGTCTGTAGTAAAGTTACAAGACTAATATGCACTGCAGACAATGGTTTCCTTGTATTCTGCATCACTACACTTTATGAGAACTCTGTG